GGGCGGCAGGTCCAGAACAAATGGAGGGGTTTTCCCTGCCTTCAGATCCTGTCAGCAGTGACACAAATGACACGATGGTAATGAACGTTTTAATGGACTGAATTGATGGCTGTGAAAGCTCCTGGGAGAGAAACCCACTGAGGATGAAATCATGGACTCACAGAAAATCCTGGGCTGGGAGGGACCCACAGGGATCATCCTGTCCAGCTCCTGACCCCGCACAGACACCCCAACAATCCCACCCTGGGTCTCAGAGCATTGTCAAATACCTCTGGAGCTCTGGCAGCCTCAGGGCCATGCCCATTCCCTGGGGAGCCTGGGCAGTGCCAGGCTGGAGGAAATGGGATTTACATTTCCTTATTCCTGCTGGGTAAGGCAGAGCAGTCCAAGATGCTGCAGGGTAACAGGGTTTTTTCACACCTTTCTTCTTTCCTAACATTGGCAAAACAACCAAAATAAAACCGTCCAAACCAGGAAGCTTGAAGAAATTCCAGCAAATTTTATTGATGTCAGCTTTTCCAATGAAGCAAATACATACAGTACAGCCAAAACAAAACTCTGAGACATTGTTCTCACATACCTATATCTTACAGAATACACTGTAGAGCTATGGACTGGTAAGGCTGAGTTGGTTTCACACTGCTGTGTGTTCAGAGAGGAATCAAACTGCCTTTGACTTGTCCATGAGGCTTCTGAAATGCTGGGGTGGGATTGTACACACACAAAATAAACAAAGCATTTGTAAGAAAATAGACCAAAAAGCTCTGCTGTGCCCAGGACAAGGAGAGTGGTGTTTATTTACATGGCTGGGTGTCCAACTGCCCTGTTCCTGTTGCTGCTGGCCACACTCCTTCCTCCTCCTCAAGAATTCTCCATCCCTGTGCCACAGAACAGCACCCAACTGTACTGGGGGTGTGCTCTACCCTGGCTCTTCAAGGAGCAAGGAACAGAAAACCAGCTCATCAGAGAGGAGGTCACAGTTAAAAACATGACTTTAAAAAAAATACCTCCCCAGAATGAAAAAAAAAAATTATACTGGATGTGAAAACAGCTTTAGTTTATATCAGAGGCAACCTCACTGAACTCCTAGAATTTCTGGTTATGAGCAACACAACCTATTCTGATAACTCTCATTTTTTCCTTTCTCTTCTCACAACTGGGCATCAAAATCACTTCACTGACTTGGGTGGAGTCTGGTGTCCGACTTTTAGAGAGAGACTGAGAGGAAAATAGAGTTGGGTATCAGAGAATTTCCTGGGGAGGATCCAGCCCTGGGACAGCAGAATGGTTGTGATTCCTGCAGCCCTCTGCTCTTCTGAGTGAGCTCTGTCCTGAGGTATGAAAGCAGTGACAAAGAGCATCCTAAAAACAGCTCAGTGGGAGGAACCTCTCTGGAGTGCCCAGAGGGGCAGGGACAAGGTCCCAGCCAGTTGAGGTTGCTCAAGGCTGTCCCCAGTCACGTTTTGAAGAGCTATGAGCCTGGACACAGATTTTATCTTTAACATTTTGTTAGCTTTGAATAAACAACTGTAACAAAACCAACTGTAACAATGGTTTTTGTAATAAAATTTATGTGAATGATGGATCTGTCTTCTGGAGTCTAATACTCACTAATGAAATCTCCAGTACCTGTAAATTTAATTGTGAGCTGATGATTATAAAGCTCCAGCTCTTTGTGCCTCATACAGTGACTCAGCAACTGCATTAGCGGTGAAAGCAGCTGCAGTGTTTTAAAATAAAGCCTAAATCACAACAAACGAAGACTGAATTTTCTCAATGTTCCATCATTCCATCATTTTGTAGTTCAGTTTCCCCAATTAGCTTTCCAGAGACAAACATTTGCTCCCAGGACCTGTGTTGGACATGTCACTGCAGAACAAACCTGAACACAAAACTGCACAGAACATTTTACACCCAAACTGAACCAACCCTGCGGGTGCTGCAGCCCCTGGGGACATCCAGGGATGGGTCGTGCCCAAAGCATTTGGAACATTTTGCACCTGGAATCCACACCCAGCGAGGGAACTGCTGGGGGGGTGGAAGGGCTTTGCCCATGGGCTGAGGCTCTTTGCTCTGTTTAAACCCTGCTGAAACACTTGTGTCCTACTGGGTTCTCCTGGTTCTGCCTCTCCACTTCAAAGGGGCTTTTCCCCTCCTTTCCTTTGGCCGCAGCTCAGCACAGAAAACTCCTGACTGAATGTGGCAGAGTGGATTCTCATCAGAGTGCACAAGGTGAAGCCTCCCTTTGCAGCCCAAAAGGAAAAGCAGCTGGAAATGATCTCGCTCTGTGGACAGGAACTCCCTGGGCTCCTAATGGGGACCGAGAAGGGCCACATGAAGCTGCAGCAGAGCAAACCCCAACTTCAAGTGGGGTTCTTTAATGGGCACTTCACCCAGGGATGCGAAGTGAGCACCCTGAGTCCCACCAATTCAGGAGTCTGACACTTAAAATGAGACTGTTTTTCCACTTCCAGGCTCATAATCCACCCTTCCCAAGCTCCTCCTGAACCCCTGATGTTTGAAAAATGGGGCCCTGTGCCCCTGCAACCTTTGAAGAATAATAACCAGCACAATAATCCTGTGTGTGGGACAGGCAGCAGGCACAGCCTCAGCTGCACCTTCCCAGTTGGTTTGAGCTGTGTCCCTGTCAGGGACAGGGAGAAAATATTTTTCTTCCGGAGAGAAGAAGGTTGTAAGAATCAGGTTACCCTGAAATGAGCTCAGCAGTGCCTCATCACAGCCTCAGCATCACACATAGATTAATGCAATTCAAGATCCCAAGAAATGAAACATTTCCAAACCTGACATCACACAAGTGCTCACACTCCTTTGCACATACCATTTCTTTACATTGACCAATAAAAACAAAATGTGATTAAAGAGGCCACATCCCTCTCTTCAGCAGTCTGTGATCCCAGGGGAAAACCACTTTGCCTGGCGTGCTCAGCTTCTCAAATGCCACCTTTGTCCAGGCACAATCAGGAGCTGGGATTGTTCTGGCGCTCAGAATGGATCAGGACCCCCTGGGAATGTCTGTGCTCTGTCCCAACTGTCCCTTCACAAGCAGCCTCAGGGAAGGGTGACCAAGACCTGGGAGAATCTGCAGGTGTTGATTTGCTTCTTGAGAGAAAGAGTTCATGTGACAGGAAAGAAAATGCTAACAATTATCAGAGAAAACCTAAACAGAGAAGAAGCCCTTGTTCATAACCGTTAGGAATAACCAGCCTTGGAAAGAAGAGYGTCTTTGTGTGTATCTGTTAATAATGACCAGATGCAAAGGGGGAACTTGACCTAAAATTGACTTTTTTTTTGTGTTAGTAGATAAAAATAGATTGTGATAAAGTTCTAGCATAGCAGTATTTGGTGCATGGATTGGGTGGAATTGGAATAAAACCCTCCAAGGGGTTAAATTGCACAATCACCCTGACTTTGGGTGGAGAAGGGGAATAAGCTGGAAGAAGATCCTGCTCCCCACGTGTGTCCTGTGTGTGCTGCCTGCACACACCTCCACACCAGACCCAGAGTTACACAGACACACTCTTGGCAAAAAAAAAAAAAAAAATATTGACATTGAGAAAGTATATAAAAGTCCCTTCTTCCCCCTAAAAAGATGAAAATGCTTAAAAATATCAGTGTCATCCACATGAAATCCACGTGTTTGGTTTGCTTTACAGTAGAGTTGAACTCAGAAACTCTCTACATCTTTAACATCCTAAGGAATCGAGGAAGGGTTGTTCTTCCTGGACATGAACCAACTCCGAATTCTGAAATAGAAAAAAAAATAAAACAAAGAAAAAGCAAAAGCCCAGATAATTAAAGCATTCAAGAGATCTTTTCATTACAGCAAATCCCAACTTTTAATCTTTTCTCTGAGCCTGGCTGCAGTTTCTTGGCTGCCTGTAGCTTTTTACCCTGGACTTCCTAAGGGTCCCAGTGAAAACAGCCCAATAGAGCAGGAAGTGAAATCTATTCCTCATTCAGAGGGAAGAAAGGGGCTTTGGCACTATTTTCTCTAGATTTGATCAGAAGGACCATGCCGGGAAGGAAGAAAATAATTCCCTCTGGATAATCTTAGATACCATCCAAGAGACCTTTGGTGTTTGCAAAGTGCTTAAAGCTTTTCCTTTCAGTGGGAATCATGAGTGAAAAATGCCTGATGGGTTCAGTCCTCATATCATACTGAATATGAACCCATAACGATGCCCTGGAAATTGTGCCCATGGTTTCTCTTCCCTGGATTCTCTGTGGGATTTTCTGTTGATGAAACGTGGCTCTCAATTCTGACCTGAGGCTGACAGGTATATTAAGGGCTCAAACCATCCCTAAAGCTGATGGCTGGAGCCATGGATGTGCTGGAATTCACTGCATTACTGGCACTGTCTGGATAACACTGCTCAAAGTTCAGGAATAAGGGCACTGCCAGGGAGAATCCCAGGAAGATCCTCACCTGGGAGGGTTTGGAGAAATGCACTGAGAGGCACAGCCAAGCCCAGCAGCTTTGTCTGTCCTGGGACATCGGTGCTGAGCATCTCCAAAATGCCCTGGGCCCAGGGCAGCACAGTCCCTGACTTCCCAAAGAAACAGACTGGGCTGGAAGGATTTGGGATGAAAATCTCCCAAACATGCTTTGGAGGTGATCAAAAGTAGCAACAATCTCAAAGAATTCCTGTGCCCCAAATCCACCACGAGGGCCATGTTCTCACCTGCAGCCTAAACGTCCATGGAGAGGCTCTAAAATCTGGAGGAGAGGGTCCTGAAGGTTGTTCCAGCTAAAGATCCCATCATGTTCTTATCAAACCCTTGCTGGAAAAGCAGAAATATATGAAGTACAGTGAGTGCCTATCAGTTTCCACACTGAGAGCATTTACTGAGAGCCTTCTGCCCCACAAGGTGTGCTTCATTCTCAGCCAGCCTTCCCTGCCAGCCCTCTGCGTGCCTTTGTCACCCTTACTGATGAACTTCATAGAGCCATGGAATAGTTTGGGTTAACCGGACCTTAAAGCTCAACTCATTCCACCCCCTGCCATGGGCAGGGACACCTTCCACTATCCCAGACTGCTTTTCCTTGCATTGCTTTCCACCAGCTTAGAGCTGAACTCCTCCAGATTTTTGAAGGAAGCCTTTATTTAATCATTCACTGAGTATTATTTTAGTTCCTCATCCTGGACAAAGTCAATGCATGATGCATGTGCCCCTGCAGCCTCCTGCAGGAGCTGGGGCTGGAGCTGGGAGCTGGGGCTGGAGCTGGGAGTTGGGAGCTGGGGCTGGAGCTGGGGCTGGGGCTGGAGTTGGGAGCTGGGGCTGGAGTTGGGAGTTGGGAGCTGGGGCTGGAGCTGGAGTTGGGAGCTGGAGTTGGGAGCTGGGGCTGGGGCTGGAGCTGGGAGCTGGGGCTGGAGCTGGGAGTTGGGAGCTGGGGCTGGAGCTGGGGCTGGAGCTGGAGCTGGGGCTGGGGAGGAGGTGGAGCTGGGGGTGGGGCTGGGGCTGGAGCTGGGGTTGGACTGGAGCTGGGGTTCGTGTTGGGGCTGGAACTAGGGCTGGAGTTGGAGCTGGGGCTGGGGCTGGAGCTGGAGCCATCCCAGCAGGATCCCCACCCACAGCCACCCCGTGGCTGTCTGGACAGCAGCTCTGGGGCTCAGAGCAGTGCTGGCCGTGCTCTCAATGGGTTCCTTGTTCCCAGGCCTGTGCAGATC